ATAAACTAGATCGTAATTTACTTAACGAAAATATTTATATTTAAAAAAATTGTAAAAAATCAGCCATTTGACTTAAATAAGTGTTTTTACCATATAAATTTTTCAAAAAATCAGATTTACAAATTGGCTATATTGAATATTTCGAAAAAAAAATTTATCAATTTTTAAGTTTTTTATTTTCAGTATTAAAAAATAATAAATGTATTCTAAAAATTTAGTGCAAGTGTCTATGAATTAAATTTAAAAGAAATTTTTTAAAAATATTGATTAGAACAAAAGTTATTTCATTTGTCAGAATGYCAGATCTCTGTGGGACACCCTGTATATATATATTCTGGGTGCTTATATAATATTATTATACTATTATGATTAATATTGTAGCTAAATGGTCTGAATTTATTTTATCGAGAATACTCCTCATATATTTTATCGATTCACGTTGCAAGAAATAACTTATTAGTGAAGGTAACTATAAGTTGAACTAATCGTTATAATAATTTTTTTAGAATATTATACTTTTTCAAAAATCATCTCTATACAATATTGTACTCCTAAAGCTCAAAACGCTAATAAAAAAATAATTACAACGACATAGTTTACACCAATTCAATCGGTTTTTATATCCATCATACTCGTACGTGTATATTGCATATACGCTTATATATATAAGCGAGCTAGGCTAATAGTTTTGAGGTCATTTTCGTCCATATGGTGGCAGTGGCATGTAATCGTATGTCGTACGTGTAATATTTGTCTATTAATAATTTTTCTTTAAGCACGCAAGTCACAACCCGAAAGGAATGCGTTTTGTACGGAGGCCCGGAATATATCGTGTCTAGAATAACGCATGTGCGATATTTAATTAAATTAATATTAAATAATATCGCCAGAAATATCATAAACGAGACCATCGTAACTTGACCGTATAGTTTGAGTTTTCTACAATAATCATAAAATAGTGCTTACACTGACGATTCACCGAGCAGAAAATATGAAATTACATTATAATATTATTGTTCGAAAAACATGATATTACTCGCACTGAAAATATTTAAGTTTGCGAAAGCTTCGAGTAGTCGCATTTGATTTTTTAATGAGGACTAAACATACTACAGAATGTTATATGTTGATGGTAATTGGGAATACATAATCATGGGTTTTCAACGATCAATATACCTACTCGGTTTTCTCATAATATTTCCTCGAAGATGCGAACAGCATCTATTATGTATAGTTACTTATAATATTATTATTTTTATGAGTTCTCTCGAAATGTCCTTTCGAAAAGGTTACAGAAGCTTACATTTCGGTACCACCTATGTCGTTTGAAAGAACAAAACAAAACAATATAGATAATATTTTGTTCAAAGTTAACTGAGAAGGCAACAATACGGAGAGTGCGGGTGGATTAACGGCCGACAATGAAATTTTCCATAATAAACGGAATGTGTGTTTATGACAATAATAATATTATTATTCATTTCGCAAAAGTATATTTAACGAGAGTGAGACGATGGAAAGAAATAATAACAAAAAGACCGTGTACACACGCATGCGTTCACAATATTGTAACTGGTATACAGACACCAAAATTAACAATAGCCGCAAAGACTGTATTAAAAGTACACCAAACCAACAATATAAATATGTGCATACATTATAATATTATAATAAACTCATCTTGAGGTACAAACAATCTATATTTTACACAAGTGATTTTTATTAAATTATAAGAGTTATGTGCATTGAAGAATATTTCTATGCAAATGTGAAACCAAAGCATAATCATGGTACAACTGTGATGCATTTTGATGGGAAAAATACTTTATATATGTATGCATAAATGATATATAATCGCAAGAGACCGCTAATTTTCATTTATCAATTATTTACAATTCAGAACCCTATTTGTCACATACAACATGGACTAATAGGTACTAAAGTCATATGGTAGGTACATTGACATCCAGAAGGACTTGGTCAGGGTTGGTCATCTAATCAATCAAGACTAGGTTGAGAAACTCTGAAGTTGAAGGAAATTCGTTTTTTTTTTTTGTCTAAGTTTGTGTGTTTTTACGACGAGTACTATGACTCAAACACTAATGTTTAACAAACATCAGCCCCACTATCAAGACATCCACGCAGCACCCTCAAATAAAACATTATTAAAGTTACGTTTTGTTATAAAAAATTATTATTTGTAAGTTGTTGCATTATCATATCTGTAAGTTATAATATAATAATAAAAATATTATACCGTAAATAAGTTATTACGTTTCGTTGAGTTATGTCAAACGGAAAATTACATTTCGGGAACATTTTTTTTTCTTCATCATAATAATAACAATATTTTATATGTATATACGCTAGTTATTTACTTTAAACACACGGGCGCTGCAGCGTCGCCAACAAAAAGAGAATGAGAATGCGTGCGAGGTAGGTAGCCGCGAAGGTAGCACGTGGAGAGSGAGGGTGTATACAAACCAGGAAGCCTAAACCCCGAGGGAGTCCGCTGCACTAACTCCTATCAAAGCTCTTTAACTGTGTCCTTTGAGATTTTGTTTACAAGTCGTCGTCAACGTGTGCTATTGACGTTTTTCTCGTGTTTAAAGTTGCCGGCGTCGCGACGGATGTATAAGAGACCTACTAAGATTACGCTGCAGGTGCAGTGTATTATATAATATATATATTGTCAAGTTAATCTATTATATAAAATAAACACGAGGCCACCGGGGAAAATGAACTGGAGATCCACCTGCGGCACCATTTTTATTATATCGTATATACCTATACATAAAGCAGCTATATGCAAAATATTATACAAATGCGTGGTTCAAAGGGTTTTCGATTTCACGATTCGTCAATAAAGGTACAAGAGTATAGATATTCCCGAATATTCTTTTTGGGATTTTTTTCAAATCGATATCAAACCGCGCCTATTGCCGATATACGCTGCACGTGTTGAATAATTATACCTCGTTTAACTATAAGCTTTTGATAATTTTACGCCCCTTAACCCACCGATTTATAGAAAATGATCAAATTTAATATTGATAGGTATATACTATTATTATATTTTATATGAAACAACTTCCAGGCCAATCTAGCAGTGTGCATTCATCATAATATCTAGTGCATAATATAACATATCGATATATCTAGCTAGGTATATAATAAGCCGATAGAACTTTAAAACTCGAAAACTTCTACAATTACGAAGAAAAAATCCTCTTGAAATTATCCGCACACTATTATAACAATCCCTCATTATGCTACAGAAATTCAATAGGTTTTTATTTTATTTGTCTCTTCAATCTAAATAAAATGATGTATGTATTATATACGAGACACGAGTACATACATGCATATATTGTATATATTGTAAGTCCATGTATTTCTGACTATAATATGATCATATTATGGAGAGTATGATTAAATTTAATTAGCAATTAATTTACAAAATTTTCATTTACGATGAACGTATAATTATGTTTACTATAAATAAATCAAAATACATACTGTTATATAGTTATTTAGTAGGTAGGTATTACGTGGAAGTATTTAATACTTTTATTAATCATTTAATTAGATATTCAAACAGTTTTATGACCAATGCAAATACGCGAAGCTCTTCAAATTTGTTTCAAACTTAATCAACTGTATCATTATATTGAAGATATTCAGTTGAATATTTTTATAACTTAATATTAACTGACCTCATTTTTAAAAAATAAGAAACAAAATACAAATCTTTAGAAATAAATAAAACACTATGTGGTTGATTTCGTGTGGTAATAACAAATATTAATAAAAATTACACCTCCAGTAAAAATATAAAAAAATATAAAGGTATATAATAAAAGCATTTTAAAATTTTAATTGTTGTTTGAGCCAGTTTTTATAAAAAATAATCCACGTCCTATGAATCTATCTTAAATATTTGAAATTATTAATAATGACAAATAATAATACTATCGTCAGACATTTTTTTTTAAATTAAACTTTATAATAGTAATAAAAATACTTATGGTTTTAATGAATAAAAATAAATAGTAAGTTTAAAGTTGCCTATAACTATAGAACTTATTATTCAGATAACTATGATTTGAAAGGTTCAATAAAGTTTATGGTTTAAATAACTTATAAGTACCATTTTTGTTATTCTGAAATATTAAATAAAATAATATTGAAAGTTTAGGGTTAAAGGGATTGGATGATCGCCATTTTAAATTTTACAGTTATTAAGAGGTGGAAGTTTGGTTCATTTAGCATCTCCGAAAAGTGTATCATGAAACGCGATTGATTTTAAGATTAATAAAAAACGAAAATATATACATATTATATTGTTATAATTAATCAATTAATATATATATATTATATATCTTTAAATATCACGGAAAATAAAAAATAATTGAATCACTTCCTAGAAAAAAAAAGAAAATTATTCATATTAAAGTATTTCAGCAAAATAAAAAAACATCTACTCATTACATTTTTCAAAGATTTGTAGGTACTTTTGAAAATTCCAATTAACCGTTTCCGAGAAAATGTGGAGTGTTTATTATTAAGTTGAACAAAAAATCGACAGTGAAATAAATTTGCTAAGGATTTAAAAAATAATCGGGTCATATACCCGTGCCAAGCGGACACATAGGTACCAGCTATGAGCTAGCTAATAAACTGTGTACAAAATAAAAACAATTAATCTGATGTACTTTCAAAGTTAAAGTTAATAAAAACAGGTTTAGATACTGTTGATAAAATGCAAATAAATTTACGAATTTCGTTTAAATCAGAGGTTTGATTATGACATGTGGAGGTTATTTTTATGGGTCGCAGATTCGGCACGCAAAATGGTTTTCCCTTTTGAACGACGATCGAAAACAACATATAATATACCTTATACAGAGGCAGCTAGCAAGTACGCACTTACCTGCCGTAGCCTTTGATCAATAATTTGGCGTCAGCTACAATATATAATTTATGATATATATAATATATATATATATTAAAACCCCGCGGTGACTTATTAACAAGATATATTGCGTAAAATAAGCATTTATAATATATATATATATATACTTACAATGTTATAGTAATTGATAATTTTGGGCTTTCGTCCAGATATATTTAAGTCGCCTGGCACGCGTCCCGAGCGCAGCGCAAGTGTAGATCCCCTTTTTCAGCATGCGTATTTACCGCAGCATAGGTAAGGATCTTTGGTGGGGGGGGGACGTGCGGGAGATCCTTATGGGGCGCACGTCGATTTATTAAATTCTGACACTGGTGAAATTCGCTTCCATGTGCACATATAATACACAATCACGTAGATTTTAATTATCGTTTAACGGATGCGTGCGTCTGTCTGGCGGTGCCGCAAATTGAGTTACTGTTCGCGTTTAATTTACCGACCGAAATTCAAAACAATCTGTGCGCTTGTAATATTATTATATACGAGTGCAACAAACAAATTAGCCATGTTGAAGTCACGGAATTCATCACAACTACATGAGCAACGTTTTCAGAGTATCTCACGGGGGGGGTACGAGAGGGTGGGAGGGGGTTGCTTGAGGGAAGGTCGGTTATAGGTAAGTGCCGTTGTATGCACTAATGGTATAGCAAACAATAGAAATGTGTGTGTGTGTGTGTGTGTGTGTGTGTGTGTGAGTGATATTTATTGTGTAAGTTTTCATCGAAAGAGGAGTATGTTTAACCAAATAAGTTTACACTTTAATAATTATGTACTAAAATTTGTGCACATGTAGGTAATACAATGGTTGTAGTCCTACACCAATATGTCAATACTCCGAAAACGCCGAATTTAGATGCTCAAAAAGCACATCGTAAAATTATTGAACCATAAGTAAATCAAACTGCAGTACATCGGGCGTGTACTCATGTCCACCCCTTAAAATAACCTACTTTGGTTTTTTATACGTGTGTGTAATGTACGAACAAAGCGTTCGCTTATATTTTTTTCAACATTCAACTGATATTTTAAAATTTAAATAATTTCATAATAAATACTTTTTAAAACTTTCATGATCACGGAATTAAGCAATTAATTAAAACCAACATAAGACCATAAGACCTCCATCATAGGTACAAGTAGTGCTATAATTATAATTCCATTATTGTAATAATGATTTTAATGAATAACATATCGGTGGTTATAAATTATAATTGTTTCTACCATTGTATCGCGTTTAATGAGTTTGATGTTTAAAGTGCAGTAAGTATAATACCTATATTCAGTTATTGATATTGAAAAATTAAATAGTTTAAAATGTTCTACAACGTGAATTTAGCATTTATAAGCATATAAAAAAAATAAGGATGTACATGTACTTAAACGAGCAATTATGAAAAATAGCACCAATTATAATAGATTATAAACAGTTATTCATTTAAGTACTTAAAATATATATCGGCAAATAATATTCAATAAATGTTAATGAATTTTAACTATCAATTATAAAGTCTTTATACCGATAAAAATCAATCTAAATAATAACGGTCCTGTATAATTCTATTGCATTAAACAGTATTATAAAATCTAGCAGTATTAATATGCCAAATGCATAGGTAATTAATTATAATTTTATACGCGACCAAAAAGGCGCAGTGGCGTGTGAAAAGGTTGCTTCTTCCGCTTCGAGTCGTATGGATATTTTATTATATATATATATATATATATATGAATATTGAACTCTCATATATTATAGGTAAAATAAGATAGGTTAGGTTATCCTGATTAATTGTACCGCATTTCCTGCAGTAAAGCCTTTACCCTAGCAGTAGGTTTTAGAAGATAAGGGACATTATAGTGGATTAAAATTAATGCATCCGCATTAATACAATAATGACCGGTCAAACTTTCTAGGCTATAAGACTTGATTTAATAGATTTAAAATGATAAATAATATTTATTATTTTGTTTAATTGTTTTTGAAGTCAAAATTAATTCTGGGCATAATACATTGTGAAAAACCAACGAAAAAAGAATTATTGTTTTGGTGTGGCCATAGCGCACTCAACCATACAGTTGGCTTACATGGATTCGGTTGGACAATAGTAATGGGGATTGTTATCGGAACTAGCTGTCCCTGGGATTACTACAATCCACTCCCAATAAATCGCCTTAAAATTCGACTAATTTGAACGATAAAGGGTCAAGAATAAATTTAAAGGAAAACTAAAAAATTTGTAATACGTTTATTTTTCAACCTTTATAAAATTATAAGGTACATACAAGATTATTCTTTAACCCCATGTAGTTATTCAAAATCTGATTTTTAGAATTTTTATATATACTCTAAGACCATATTTTCAAATTCTTGAGATTTTTCGTACCACTAAAAATGTGTCTTTTTATTTTATTTTAAACATAATATATTCCTAACTTTTATTTTTCAAATGTGAGGACCCTTGTATTTAATTTAAATAATTTAGTGGATGTATTTAAGTTAATATTTTTATGAGTAGTTTTTTGAGTTATTTAACTTTGTGTTCTAAAGATAAAAGGTCCATAGGCTTAGGTTTATAAGATATAAGGTATATAGTTGATTTGAAAATATAACCTAGAAATTGATATTAATCTATCAACATGAATATTTTATAAAAACAACCTAAGTATCATAAATACTAATTCCAATTGTACGTGTATTTTATACCTTAGTAAAACAATTTTTAAGGACTAATAGCCTTAGAACAAACATTTTAATAGCAATAATTATTATGAAACTACTCATTTAAATTTTAAATCAGGTATATCAAAATGTTTAAAAAAAACTATCTACTAAAAATATTTAATAATTAACAGTATAATGGAGGGTTATCATTTGACAAACAGAAGTTCGTATCGCCCCAGGATACTCCTTAAATAGTACAGAATATCTTAAGAATTTGAAAACATGGTCTTTAAAAATTCCAAAAATTTGAATTAGAATAAATTCATTATTTAAGGAAAAAATGGGGATGAACATGCTGGATGAATCGCCTTGTATACTATATATGTATATTAATTGTATGTGAGAACGTTTCATGGTGTACCTTATCATATTACAACCATGAATAACTCTCCATTCATAAAGATAATGGAATTGCACAAAAACCAAAACGCATCGTTCTCCCACAACCACAATCCAAATTCATACTCCTTGACTCTTATTGTATGCACGAAGTAACCACATTCTCCCAGAAAACAAATTAGAGTATGGAATGTTTAACGATCTACACCGTAGACGTAAGCTTCAGAAAAAAATACACAATAATTTTAACAATAATAATTACTTCATAAAATTAGCACTAAGAGGATTTCAGATCAATATTTGTTTTCTCTCTATAAGACCCACGCTTCAACAGTGCGAGATAAAACGCACTCACAAAAATTCGATTTTTATGATGTTGGAGTAATTATTTCTTAGAGAAAAAAAACCTATTATATAACATTAAAACTTACTTTGATCCTTTTCCGGTTTCAAGTAGATGACTTGCGACGTGTCAGCTGCCAGTGACCAGGCTGTCGCGCACGAAACGCCACAGTGAGCTGCAGCGCACTGGTCGGAAAGTCTRATCCACACGCCCTCACCATTGGCCACTCTATCTACGGCCTGAACAATGTTTCCCTGGACGAGCATACCGACCGGCGTGGCCTTAAAGGTTGGCTGATTACGGATGTTGTGTCCCGAGGCACCACACACCACGACTTTGTAGTCAACTAGCTGCCCTACCGAGTGGTCAGGTGATGGCATTGGTGGTGGTGGTGGCGGAGGCGGTGGTGGCAGTGGAAGAATCGATGAAGACTTAAACCTGCAAGATAGTAATAATTATTGCAAGCAAGTGCTACAAAAATAACAAATTATATTGGACTATAAGGAGAAACATGATATTATACGCTGTAGTGGTCAGGTGTGAATATTTAGGTCATGGCGAGGTGTTTAAAAAATAGACTTAATGACAATATTATTGGCACAATATTTAGACGATATCACACCTGAAATAATCAAACTCTAAATTAAGTACCAGCAACGATGACGAGTTTTCGGTGGACGATTACGTACGTGTTTATAAAGATTACTTAAAGATAAAATAAAACTAAAAATATGATGAGACATGTCTCATAAAAGCACAAAATAACTCGCACCTTTTTTTCAATCCTCCCTAAACAATGTGCATGTCAAATTAAGAAAAAATCGACGCAATTTAATGTCTAATTTAAACTGTATTTAATAACTGTAAATTTACTATATCACGTTAAAACAGACCGAGACAACACCACCGAAAAATACTTCATGTGGCGCGAACACTTAGTTTGAATCCAACATTTAGAGGCGGGCTGATAGATGATGCACTTATTCCAGGATAGATACTTGTAGCAAAATATTTGTGTAATTAACCATTAATATATATCAAAAATCAGTTTAATTTTATAAATCATAATTCAGTGTTGACGACATTCAAATAACTTAAGCAGGCTACCACGTTGAAACCTCGTATTATGATCATTTACATAATAAACAAATATATATGTTTATTAACGGATATATGATGCATTGGGAGAATTGATGGAAATAATAAGTCATAAAATAAAATATGCAAATATGTACCTAGGTATATTATATTAGTCATTCCGATGCCAATATCGATGGGAGTGAACATTTTCTCGATTTTTTTTTTATTCTGATAGATAATATTGATTGTCAATTATATCAATTATAGATTGAAAATTATTTATTTATATAAATCACGCAAAAGTTATACACAAAATTAATACGCATGCACATAAATAAAACAATATCATGCATTGTAAATTTCCCCGTTCATTTATACATTTATATGTCAACATTAGCGAATATTAATAGAAGTCAAAGAAAAATATAACACATGTGCAGCGAGTACTATCACTTTGTGTACCTAGTATGTTTAACGCACATATGACATTTGTGCACTAATAATTTTTACTTTAAAGAAAAATTAATTTGGAGTATACGCTAATAATATAATATACCTATGCAAATAGTATAGGTGTTTATGCAATAAGTTTGTATTTTGGAAATTCAGAGTCCACATTTTAGTGTCCATTAAAGCCATTTGTATTTGCTATTAGAAATTGTATTATGGACTTTATGGCCGTCATTAAACTCTAGTATAATATATTATAATTTATATACACGGCCATCTGTTTGTCAAATAAATTGCAAAACTGACGATATTGCGTTTTTGCATTGATTTTCGTCATCAGAAATATTTTATTCGCAACAATATAAACACTGATAATATCCATAATAATATTTACGTTTTTATTGTTACTTTAATAAAATAATAAGCGTATAAAACTGAACCTATTTTAATTTTAACGGGGTTTTCAAAATCAAATACTTCCGGTATACGTATACAAGCATTTTTCTAGGTACACGCATTCATATTAACGACTAAAAATAACACAATATACTAATACGTAAATTTGAAGTTACGGATTTATAGATGCACAAAACTGCATACATTTGAGTAAAAAAAAATGTATGTGTATCTTAAGTATACAATTAAATTAGTTTTGTTTTTCAATTAGACTWATGTCAATTAAAATCTGGAGCTAGTAATCAAATAAGAATATGCTTTGCATAATTAAATTATGTATTGCACTCAAATATTATACACACTCGTATAATAATAATGGAAACGTAAAAAAGGTCGCCCCAAATATTTATTTGAGTTTGTGCACCAAGGAATTAAAACACTTATAAATTTGAATGTATAATTGAAAACAAATTATTGATTTTGGTTGTTCCATAAAAATGCCTAAGCAATTCCAAATCATGTCAAAGTTTGATTAAAAAACTTTAATATTGTTTTACATTTTATAAGAAAACTAAAAGAGATGAAAAAAATAATAATCATCTTTTTGTATTTTTTAAAATATATGCGTTCTATAACAAATGTACAATTATAATATGAATTAAAGTGAAAATACTGTCCAATTTTAACTTGGTATTTATTTTTTAATTACATTTTCATAATATCTAAACTGTACGATATAATTATTATCCCACTAGTTCTGGAGACCAGTAAAACCGTAAAAGGTAATTTTATTTATAGCTTGTGATACACAAATATGGTCAAAATTAAATGATCTGATGAAGCAAAAAATAGCAATTTTGTCATTTCTCATTTTAATAACAATATATAAAAAGAAGCGGGTAAGTGAGTTTCGCTTTGCTGTATATTGGGAGGAGGGGTGGACCTCTGACTAGGGCAGGTTAAATTTAAATGCAATGATAGGTATCATTGTATACGAAAAACGATTCTGAACGGAGACGGTTTATCTGTCTAGGATATATTATTATAGATTATTAAAAATTTTCAAATCTTAGATTTAAAAAGAAAATTTTTTACGATTTTCTAGCTTAAAATAATTTGTGAATTTTCGTGATTTTTACGTA